AATTTGGATGCAAACCGTCAGCTAAAAACTGCACAACTATTCCTTAAAAGATCAAAAGTAAACCCTAAAACTCTGGTTTTAAAAGGCTCACAGTGCAATTTTAGACAAACTATTGAGAAGCAAAATGAAACAATTAATGGGGTTTCCTTCCAAGTAATAACATGTTATGAACACATCTAAATAAAATGAAAAAACTTTTTATTATGATCATTTGGAAAATAAAGTGTTTATATAGTCTCCATTCTCAGATGAGCTCACCTGTGATTGCTGGTTTTCAGCACCAGCAGTATCATTAGAAAGAGTAAAGCAAATGGTTAATTATTTTAATTATTATTTTACTTTTCCTGCCAGGGAGAGTTCTAGTGAAGCCTACTAGTAATTTGACTGGTCTTGGGTTTTCTTGACCTTTGGTTTGGGTGATTAAGGAGCATCACACTTCATACATTCGACATCGTTATACAAGTGACATCTCACCATTGCAAGCTGAAAGATAGCTGGGGGTCAAGAAACACTCCCAAACTGCACAGCTGCTGTTTTTGTGGGCATGCACTTCTCTGGACTGCCTTTCTCTCTCCACATACCATGTTCACATCTTTAAGATGTGCAGGCTGAAGAAAAATCCATACAAATTAGATAGCAGTCTTTAAGGTTGCCTCACAGTGGTTTGCCCCAACCCTGGAGTCCAACTCAAGATAAATTTGATGGCTCACATTTATTCAAGAAATGTACCTCAACCAAACCAGTGGTTTTATCATATAAAGTGCTGTTTGGTCCATTTGTACTCCTTCAAATATGTGAATCTACTTAATTTAACAGGGATTTGCCAAAAACATGTTAAAGCAAAATACATCATGAAAATAATTGTCTGTGGTATCAGTCTTAATTTCACAGCACATTTCCATCAGTGCTTACATCTCTTGTACAGATAGGGCTTGTTCATTTTCAGTAAGAGCCATCTGAAAAGCAAGATAAAATACTGAAGATAGGCCTAAGGTTTCTTGATGAACTATGGAAATTTGCAGTCAAATTCCCTCCAGCTTGTAAAGAATACAGTATTTACAGTGAAAAAGAAAATACACCCTCTTTGAGTTCTATTTTTTTACATATCAGGACATAATAAAAATCATCTGGTCCTTAGCAGTTCTCAAAAGTAGGTAAATACAATCTCAGATGAACAACAACACATAATATATTATCCCATATTGTCATTTATTTTACAAAAAGAAAGCCAAAGTGGAGAAGCCATGTGTGAAAAACTAAGTACACCTTATGATCCAATCGCTTGTAGAACCACCTTTAGCAGCAATAACTTGAAGTAATCGTTTTCTGTATGACTTTATCAGTCTCTCACATCATTGTGGAGGAATTTTGGCCCACTCTTCTTTACAACATTGCTTCAGTTCATTGAGGTTT